GACTTATTAATACAGCTGGGTCATACTTCAGAGGCCATGTACAGATGCATTAATTATCGTTGGCCTTCAAAATATCTTCTTCATGCTCTCGGTCTTTGTCTCTATCATTCTCAGGTCCCAATTTAAGGCGTACACTACAGAGGCTGATGGAGAAGCTCGGCGGCGCCACGATGTGCACAAGATTGTGACAAATCCACTCAAGTTAGGTAGTATTGGATCTAAAGCTGGGTAATTAACCCGGAAGGACACCGACACTTGTCCAGACTACCGGGTATGGATTGCCCTCAGACATTAGTCAGTTTTCGTTGGCCGGTATGGACGATTCCTCAGAGCTCCCGGCCTACCGGCCGGGTTTGGGTACGGATTTTCCCTCCGCGTGAGGGGTCCCGATGGCCGTTTTGGGTACGGATTGTCCTCAGGCCCTCCCACCAATTGTCATGGGTCCTACAAAAATGCTCTCCGCACGCGGAAGCTTTGTCAAGTTGCGACACCGTAGTTGGATCCGATATCATTTACAACCGGGGTATATCTAGCTGGCCTGCCTTGAAGCACAGAAACACACATCCAATTTTTGCACACTATGGCTAACAAGCAAAAGGCTCTCGTTTGCTCAGGCCTCCAGGGAACGTACTCCGTCGAGCTCATCGATGTGCCTGAGCCTGGTCCTGGCCAGGTGCTCGTCGAGCTGCAGGCTATCGGGCTGAACCCGATGGACTGGCTCATGCGCGATATTGGTATATTCGTCCCCAAGTGGCCCGCAGTCTTCGGGTACGACGGTGCAGGGATCATCAAGAAGGTGGGCGAGGGAGTTACGAGTATCAAGGCTGGAGACAAAGTGCAAGTATCGACTTCTGCTTATATGCAGGAATAGTGGGCTGACGTGCCTGTAGGATGCATGCTGGCACTCTCCAAGAACCGAGGGTGTCGACATTCATGCAGTATGTCGTGATGAAGGCAGAGTTCGTCGCCAAGGTGTGCTCCGCTGGTGTTTATGCATTCAAGCACCGATTTACATGCCAGCGCAGGTTCCGAGTAATATTTCTCTCGACCAAGCCTCGACAATCCCGCTCGTGCTAGCAACTGCAGTTTTGGGCATGTACGATAGCAAGCGCGCACCGCATGGTGGGATTGGCTTGACTCCACCTTGGGAAGAGGGTGGACGGAACAAGTACGCAGGCGAGCCTATCGTCATCAACGCTGGCTCTACTGCAGTGGGACAATACAGTAGGCTGTCTGCTTAAATCTAGCTGGCAAAGAGCTCACGCGTGACGCAGTGATCCAATTCGCCAAACTCTCTGGTTTCTCACCCATTATCACGACTGCGTCGAAGCACAATGAAGAGTACCTCAAATCTCTCGGCGCAACGCACGTCATCGACCGCACCATCTCTTTGTCCTCGCTGCCCGCCGCGTTACGCGCCATTACAGAGAAGCCGATCATGTACGGCGCGGACGCGATCTCGACGGCCGAGACGCAGAACGCGATGTACAACGTCGTCGCGCCCGGGGGAAATCTGCTCATTGACACGCACAACCAAATCGGGAAGGATAAGCTCGAGAGCGGGGAAAAGTTTGTCGCGCAGGTGTTTGGCGATGTACAGCACCCGCCGGAGCAGGCGTGTGGTCTGGCCCTATATGCAAACATCACGGGGTTGCTTGAGAGGGGCGAGATCAAGGTAGGCGTATTTGTACGTCAGACTTCGTTGTGAAATATGCTGATATGGACCGTCTAGCCTAACAGGATCGAAGTCATCCCTGGCGGGTTGGCGGGGATACCTGGAGCCTTGGACAGGCTCAAGAGCGGCGTCAGCGCGTTGAAACTCGCGGTTCGTCCTCAGGAGACCCCATAATTTAGTGGACATGGAACTTAGGCTCGGTATGATGGTTATCAGTATAATACTAGCTAAATAGGTTCGGTACTCCCTGCCTAGTCTTTTACCAGTGCAGATGGTCGCCAGGCAATTACATAATAAACCAGAAGAACATCTCACCCGGAGTGGCTTGCCGAACCCGCCGTGGCTGTGCGACGCCACCAAGGCACGGTGATAACGCCTTTCGCTTTCCAGTTTTACCCTGCATCCTTATACTGCCTCGCGCACTACCTTTTCCATGCCACGCTAGTAATGTCTACCCTGCCTGCTTTCTCGGTGGACTTATCCCCGCAGCAATGTAACGAAGAAAGATCCGGGGAAATCATGTCGCTTGTGGTGTTGAAGTGGAGGCTGAAATGACTGGGTGCGCTGCGATCAAGCCATCTTATTAAGACGATTTGTCATTTGAACGTCACCCTATCCCCGCAAAAAAGAGCAAATCATTGCAGTTGATTCCGCTACAGTCGCTTGCATATGAAACTGCAGTGCCTTTGAAGGCAATGCGTGCTGTAAGCGCACATTGTCACGCTCTTTCAACCAGCTCGAGGTAAGGCGGAACGACGTGCTCAAAATATCTGAAAAATGTTCAAATATTTTGATTGTTACGCATATCGCGGAATGCAATGAAGTTAGTCTGACATTTAGTACTTGCCAGGAGATGAAAGGCGGAGGGACCACACGCGCGCTTGGCATAACACTACTAGGCGCTAGTAGGCAGATTGAGTGCTCGCCTTCGGAGATTCCGCGCTACGGACACCAAAAATGCAGGCGGGGCTGCCAAAATTTTGCAGTAAGCCATCGCAGAGAAAGCTTACCTACACGAAGGTCAGTGCGACAGCATTGTTGGTTTGTGATCCTTTCGTGACTTTCCGTGACTATCACCGCACCAGATAAGGCGAATTTGTACGGAGCAAATACTGGAACAAAATCAAACGACCGCTATAACGCGCTGACCAATCGTTCACGCTCACGAGTCGCGCGAGCGGCTGCGCACGTCACGGCTTGGATGTGGCATGCATGGCTCTCCTGCGTACTGCGTCGGCAGAATCGCGTACGCGATAAATCGGCCGTGGCTCCGCGGGGGTACGGCTGCCGTGCACGGTATTATAAAAGCCAGGGTGTTTTCAAGACACCGACACGCACTCTCCCCACCATTCAACACTCCTCATGCAGCAGAAGGTACTCATCCTCACTGGCAAGCTTAGCGAATCGAGCGGCAAGTTCGTCGTCGACGTCAAGGATATGCCGGAGCCTGGTCCTGGCTACGTCCTCGTCGAGGTTCATGCGGCGGCGCTGAACCCGATAGACTGCGCGATGGCGGACACGGGCCTCTTCGTCAAGGAGTGGCCCCTTACTTTAGGTTTCGACGCTGCAGGTGTCGTCAAAAAGCTTGGTGAAGGCGTCACACACTTCGCAGTTGGCGATAAAGTGTAAGCATGTGCCTCGGTTTCGTGTTAGTGCTCACGCCGCTTGCTAACATGTTTGAAAGCATGCATGCAGGTACCCATGTAGATCCAGCAGTGTTCACGTTCCAGCAGTACGTTGTTATGCGCGCAGAATTTGTTGCGAAAGTATGTGCTAGTACCCCTTCCGCAAGACTCGCCCTAATCGCACCCTTATAATGCTTAGGTTCCTTCGAATATCACTCTAGATCAGGCTGCCACCATTCCTTTGACGATGGCGACTGCCGCTCTTGGGCTGTACGACAAGAAACAAAAACCTTTTGGTGGTATTGGTTTAACTCCGCCTTGGGAGGAAGGTGGCCGAGGCAAATATGCTGGCGAGCCCATTGTCATCCTGGGTGGCGCTTCAGGTGTTGGCCAACATGGTAAGCCTCTTTACTTCTTATTTGTCTCCGTGTACGTCAACATGGATGTTTCTGCCAGCAATCCAGTTTGCTAAGATCTCTGGATTCTCTCCTATTATCACAACGGCTTCGACGAGCAACGAAGAATACCTCAAATCGCTGGGCGCGACACAGGTCGTCGATCGGAACTTACCCCTGTCTGAGCTCTCGTCGCTCGTAAAGCAGATCACAGACAAGCCGGTCAAGTACGGCTTCGGCGCAATCGGGACCCCGGACGCGCAGGACGCACTCTATGATGTGGTCGCATCCGGCGGCCAGCTGCTCCTCGTCAAGCAGCCCACGATTGACGAGGCAAAACTCGCAAAGGGAGACAAGTATGTTGGGCGCGTGTTTGCGGACGTCCATCTGCCGGCACAGCAGGAAGTCGGCAGGGGCCTGTACGCGCATCTCACTCGCTTGGTCGAAGCTGGAGATATCAAAGTATGTTCGCTTCTTGTTGTAAAGGTGCTGATAGATGCTGATTAATTCTCTTGACATAGCCTACGAAGCTGGAGGTGCTTCCGAACGGTCTGGCGGGGATCCCCGAAGGGCTACAGAGGTTAAAGAAGGGAGTGAGCGCGCTCAAATTTGTCGCGCGTCCTCAAGAAACTCCTTAAGCTTTTTCCATCGACGTTAAGGGGCTGAGCGAGCAGAGTCACCAATACCAGTGTGAAGAAGCAGGAAATATTCGTAAAGGCATTGAATTTCGTCAATAAGCAGAAGGAAAAGGTCACGGTAAAGGCCATAGGATATAGGTAACCTGACTCTAGCGGCAGCCAGGAATAGTTGTAATCCATCCCCTTCTTACTCTGCGTGTTTTATGGAGACGAAGCGGCCTCCCGTCGGGACTTCTTAAATGTCTGAGCCCACGAAGCACACTTCTCTGTGAGACAACATTAGCCTGATTTCCTTCATGACTACGGAGATAGCTCGCCTCTGACACTTCGCTTACACGAATGGATATCCTTTGCCCACGGATGGGAGGTAACGTTCGCGCCACAATTCGAACACACAGGTTCACTAGTCATGCGTAAGTATTTATCAACATCGTGATGCATACAACATACCGGTTGACCTCATGTGCTTCGAAGAGATGTAACACAAAGTCGTCGTAGGACCGCACAGGATGTCTACAAATCTTCTCGCCGACTTGGTAGTTACAGCGAACAGCGTATGCTCCAGTGTCATGGTCCACGGTTAGGCCGACGTTGTTCATCAGAAACAGGTCTGGGAGTTTGCTTTCCTGGTGCATCAATCTATGAGACGAAAGAAGATGAAGGGAGTACATGCACATACCTGTGGGTGATGGAAGACGGAGTCGAAGGCTTCTTGTACAGCAGGGCCCGAAGGAAGATGTAATGGCAGCGAGCTTGGCTTCTGCTGTGGAGTGCTCTGTGTGACGCAAGCCTTAAGCGAGCTCTGAGAATAGGACGCGTATCAGTTCCTGCACGCAACCTCGAAGCGAACGACGTACCCGCAGGTCAGACGTCAATGTAGGCGTTAGGGGAAGCGACTTGTCGACTTGAACTTGAGTAGCAGAATTGCTGTGGGTCTGGACACTGGGCGGGGCAATCGGCGGGTATGTCACTGTAGGCGGCGTCCTCCCAGGACCCTGATGCGCCGAGTCGGGCTCAACGAACACTTGGGAGATCTCGCGAGGAGTCTGTGGATGGGCGTGCTTACTCGCCGGTCGTCTCGCCTTCGCTAAGGGTCCGCACGCGAAGTCACGAACGACACCCCGGACGAACTCTGGATCGTCAAAGAGTAGCTGGTCTATCAGACTATCGATGGCGATACCTTTCTCTTCCAGCAGAAAAAATAGGGAGAGTATCCACCGAGCGAGGTTAGATGAGGACGAGCCATCGCTCCTGTCGTCCGCCTGGCCAGCGCGAACAACGCCGTCTTCCGACAATTTCTGCCGAGTGTGTTGGCGTCGCTGAGCATCCGCACTGGAGGTTGATGGTGGCACAGGCCCTTGGAGTGCTGGCGGAAGAGTCAATGGGGTTTGCCCTATGGGCATCTGCGCAGACTGCTGTTCAATAGGCACAGCCAGATGTCGAACAGACGAGGGGCGCAACGTCTGCGATGCATGACTACGGGGACTTTCCAACGGAACATGATTCGTCGATGCGCTAGAAGCGGAGGATGGGGTTTGGGAGACAGTATCGGTCATGAGATGCTGCTCGCGGTGGGCCGGAGGTTGACGAATGGAAGTCACAGCGGTGGGAGCGTCAAGGTTTGCGCGAGTGTTACGAGCGCTGCGTTTTGACCGAGGGTCGTCGCTCCATCCACTCATGGCGACATGAGGAGCGGAAGAATCAGAAATTACTGGGCCGTTGTCTGATAGCTGGTATCTGAGGTGGCTCGGTGGGACGGGGGACATAATAGCTGTAGGCGGAGAGCGAGATTTTGACGTGCCGCGATGGTGGCTTAAATTGTCCAGGTCGAAGCGAACGTGACGGATCCCTGCCTCACGCCTCGAGCGTCCAGAGGACCGAGCTGCGCAGCGGTCATCCTTTAAGTGGATATCGAGGCCGTGGCTTGTGCGTTCGGGCGAGCCCATGCTGGTTGAGCTAAGGCCTGATCGGAACCGATGGCCAGGGCGCGCCATTGCAGAACCACCGGACTGTGCTCTGCGCACAGGCTGACAAGCAGACTGAGCACGACGCACTTGATGTTCGCGCATCTCGTGTTCCAGCTAGGATAAGAGCCTCAATCAGAAGTGCACATGGAGAGAATCAGCTGACGTACATCCGTTATGATGTTGCGCGTCTTGGATGTTGTCTCGGGGCACTCGGCACTAATTCCAACAAATCCGCGGATTTTCTCTCTAGGGGAGGCATTGCCAGATGGGATGGTCCTGTCCGACTTGCCACCTTCGTTCTGCCAAGCCTCGCGACGTCCGTGTCCTCTGCGAACGGGCGAACGGAGTCAGCAGACAAACCGGAGGTCCGTATGTCGACTTACCTCGACGCAATGCCTGATTTCCCACCGCTGGGTTGCCTAGAAGGTGCAACTTGCCTTTCTCTGCCTTCATTTCGAACGATAATATCTCCAATACCAGAGCCATTGCTATGGTTGATGTTGTCCGAGCCGCTTCGGGGGGTTTGACGAAGAGAGGCGGTATACGAAAAGTCCTTAGCATCAGGGTGCGACTGGGGCTGCTGCCTTCGCATCGTAGTTGAGGAAGCCTATGGGGCTTGAGGCACCCCAAATGGCATGAAGCGTAATACCATTCTCACCTCGTTTCCTGTCTTACTCCAGGGAGTATGAGTGGACGTAGCCGGTTGACTAGAGCTTGTTCCTCGCGGGAGCTGAGGCGTCTGCACAGCGTCTGAAACTGAACGGGTCTATGCAAGGTGAGATGTTACAGCGAGCAAGAGACGGATTAAACTTACTATCGGGACCATATCCTCTGTTGGCACCGCAGAAACATAGAGATTTCTGGTAGCGAGCAACGGCGTGGCGTACTGATAATTGACATGCCCGGAGCCGTCGACGGGAGGTACAGGCTGGCAAAGTCGGCGATCAGGACTTCGGGATACGGAGCGCTGCTCTCGCACTTGGTTCATGCTTCGTTCAGCGAAGTGTTGGGAGAGGAGGTCGCCTGGGCTGGGAGGAAGAATCTTATTGATGGTACTGTTGCGATTGGGACGCTCCACGTCCTGGGGACTTGAAAGTTAAAAACAGAGCTCTGTCACAGTTTGGAGAATTCAAGACGTACTGGAAAAGGTGGGACAAGGCTCCAACCCTCGTCACTGTGGGCTGTTGACCAACTGGATGGCTGCCTGCAAAAAGTAGTCGGTAGGTACTCTGTTGGCATAGCCAGAAAGTTTAAGTGGGTAGCTATGGGGTGGGGATAGCGCTGCGAAACGAGAGCGTCGCAAGTGGCACCGGTTGTGGTTCAGAGAGAGGTTGCGATGAGGGGGCGGTTTTAGTTAATTCAGGTAGATATACGGTGGCTGGAGGGCGCAGAATCTAAGTTCGCCACTTATCAGCGCTGTGCCGACGGGCCAGTGACCTCGCCTCGTGCACTTAATGAGTCGCTTTTCCATCAGAGGACATATTTGGGTGCCGGTGCCGGCGGCTGACGAGAACAATCGGGATGAAGCTGCGAGGCCCAACAGAGCCGTCGCTAGGACTGTTCAGAGTTTCGTTTGGTAGTACCGTGGGTTTCGGAGCCTGTATTATCGACATCGGGGGGAGCGTAGGCTTAGAGTACAATGTGACGGCCAGGCACATATTTTTGAAAAGCTTTTCAAGGCTTATTCAGCGCAGCCTGAGTTTTTAGACCCTAGCCACAGGTCCTACAGCCATTAATGATTCTAGACGTTTGTTGAAAAATCCAGTGTACCTAGTCGGGACAGCGCTTACCGGTAAGACCAAACTTCTCGGGTGTAATGACTGATAAGGCAAGTTGCTGATTATCGACGGGTACGGAGCCGAATAGGTTCCCCCGAGCCTGATCTTGCCGGCAGAAATCTTCCAGTCTACCCTGAACTTCCAGGCGGACAATAGGAAATACTCTGACAAACTCCCTGCCATGACATTTCCCAAGTCCTGCGGAAGGTGGTTGGGCATGTGTAGATGAGACTGCACTTACGCAAGGCACGGCTCTGCATCCCGGCAGCTGATGCACGCTTGGAGACTTTTGCAAGTACAAAGACAAATGCCCACGAGAGTCGGAGCATCGTAGAGAAGCTCCGGAGGACGAAAAGCCTTTTCTGCCTGCAACGTGTAAGGAGCATGGTGGTAACCGTGACGGGGGGAGTACGATTTGTCGTCTTGCTGCGTTAATAGGGTCGAGCGATGAGCAGACCTTATTGCATGTGCTGTTCCGTGTACCGAGCTGAACACAGCCAAGGCCATGCCGGGCAGCATGTCCCGCCTAACATTGATCATTCATTTTAAGAGGCTTCCATATGTCAATCCCGAGGAGGCTAGAGATAATCCTGCGATGAAAACATATTTGAGTATCGATGGCGAGTTTGCGAGAATCAGAATGAAACAACACATGTACCAATGAAATAAACAGTCAATAAACCTTCTACACAATCAGTCGCTAATTGTGCATCCAGGTCCTGCTTAAAGCTTGTCCGTGCCCTGTTCCTACTTCTTGTTTTGGAACGCTGTGAACAAGCTTTTCGCAGTGCCCCGCACCTCCGGTGCTTAATCGTCCAGGTAATCTACTACCCGAGTAGCTGCCTCTACTTTGCCGACATGAAACGGAGATTCCCGAATGTATCGGCAAATTGAGGCTAGTGAGTTTGAAGAACTTCGCTGCGGACTCGGAGATGACGTCAGTAGAGAGGCATCCTGTGATTCATCGCAGCGCCACGTCGCATAGGCGGGTTCGGCGTCACCCTGCGTCGCCTCGTAGTGTTTCTGCATTTCCGGGTTTAATCTCCGTGGAGGCATCTGGGAAATACAGTCACATATTCACCGGTAAACATCACGTGCATGTTCAATCGCGCTCTTGCGTAAATCTGCGAGATCGTTTGTGCTCCCAAAGAATCTGGTCACTAAGTGTGGAGGCTCAAGCTTCAGGTTCCGAGGTAGGGTCCTTCGGCAGCAGTACTGTGTTCTCTTCTCAACAATGGCAAATAATCGAGTAATTTCAAACATACGATACCACGCAGAGTTGATCAGCTCCATGCTAGCCGCTCCGGCGAGCAGCGCGAACGCTGCAAGGCTTGCTCGGAGCGGCTCAGCGGGACATACCCGTTGTTCTAAGAGGCTGCGCCGAGGTAAACCGCATCAGCACGATGTTATCGATGATTATCCGCAGTCACGCGCCCGCCCTCCGCGCCTGTAGCAAAGTTTGGGCAACACGTTTTGCGAGGTATGCGGACATGAGGCTTGGTCGGATGCCGCCACAAAGACGGAGTGACTTCACTTGTCACAAACCAAGCCCTTGTTACGCCTTGTTACGCCCTGCGCGCTTCGCTCGCTCGGAGCTAGCAAGTCTCTTTCCCTCGGGCCTACCTTATAAGAAAGTTGTGTAACTTCAACTACCATGAGATATTATGCAGACTGTGAATTGATTACATTACGACAGCATGGATGCTATGCTGATGCTGCGTGTACAGTGGAAGCTCCCCGCAGGGCCTGCTCCGGCCCTGCCAGGACCCGAATTTCAATCTAGATTCAGCGTGCCACTCTGTCGTCCCGCGATGAGATACCACCATCTAATCTCGGAGCTTGCATGATCTGATTATGCGTATCGCTGATATCCATAGACACAACGTGCCGGCCGCATGTCGTCGGTGGTCTAACTATGCGGCCCCTTGAAATCGAGTACGGGATCCTAGGGGAAATTCTCATCGAAGTGCTCTCTGTTTTCCTTTCCTTTGTTTCCTAGGAGTTTGGCCCCGGCTGCCCGCGTGTTTACAACATCCACGCGTACGCCGGACGTTGCGAACTACATCTATTGTCTTTCGCGACGCTACTCTCACGTCCTTGCATTCTAATCAATTGTCTCCACATCACACCAATTACCCCACCCTCTGTCGCCCGGCCAGGAAGCTCTCCTTTGCTGCCGTAAGCAAACGGAATATGCCCGTCCGCCCACCTCCCGAGGTATGTGCGCATCTTCGCACCAGACTACCCGTCGCTTACACTGTGACCTGCAAGATTTTACAAGAAGAGTACAACAAGTTAGAGTGTAACGGAAGTGTCGTATCTGCGCCTAGGATTTTCCAGGACGGGCTGGATGTCCGGGATGTCCGGCACTCTCTTCCCAGACCTCTGCACAGGTCATAGGCTATTCTGCTCGCGCAGCCGCCCTTAGGAAGGCTCATACCTCCATCGTGGTCGGTGCCTTTTTGACTGCTTCCCCCTCTTCTATCGTTCTCACCGCGCGCTGTATCATGCCTAAATCAGCTACGCTTACGCCCCTCGCGTCATTCGCAGTCTTTCACTACCACGTATCCTCTTCGGGCCTGGCAATTGCAGATGAAGACATCCCTCTGAGAGCACTACAAAGCGAGCAAGGATGGCAGAAACCATCTGCTACTAAGAACGCTGATGCCTTGCGCAGTGCAGGTCCATGTCGTTCCCAGAGCTTAAAGGTACGTACTCCAGTGGCACATCCAAGTAAATTCTCCTTGACCAGTACTCCGATCGTAATAGGATCAGCTCAGCTCCGGGAAAGTGGTTATCCAGTACGCTTATGCCATCCTCGATGCTCCCGAGGCGTCACATAAAGGTCCCACAGCGAGCGTAAAGCTCGGGCAAAAGAAAGTCTGGTGGGACTACGCCCAGCTCGCGCAACCTCGCAGCCACTCCCTCAGCACGCTCACAATAGTAGACGACGACGACGACAGCCACTACAAAAGCCCTGAGACCTCCGCAGCGCCGTCCATGATCTCTGACGACGAATCCGACGACGAGCCTGACGACGGCTTGCGCACGCCACCTCCAGTCGCCCGTGCCATGCCGCGTGTCCGCGCGAGCACTCTCCTGTCGGGGTCAGGTTTACAACTCAGCGTCTCCCCTCGCTCCGAGCCCATGTCGGATTCAAACGAGGAAGCCTTGCTCGAGCCGCTGCCGCTCCCCGACCTGTCGATACCGTTTGAGGACTCTCGAGCGATGAATGTCGGTCGCATGGGCGGATCGCGCGCGTGGTTGTCCAGGAAAATGATCTTCGGCACCGGTGGTCCCATCTGGCGGTCGTCGCAAAATGTTGCATCTACGTCTGCGTCATGACAATCTGCGCAAGGGACGGCGTCTGCCGGCAACCGCGACTAACGGCAGAGTGCACATTGCTCTCCGCTAGCACGTGCTGTTCACTTGCTGTACTTATGAGGAGTGTGAATTGTGGGCTACTCTATGTAGTTCAGTATCGCGCTTTTACGATCAAACCGGGTGCCAGTGACCTGATTGTGACTGGGATGCACCGATTCGCACGCCGCGACCGGTCTTTCGTTTCTAAGACTCAACACAAGAGAGTACGCCAATAAGTAACTCTTCACTTTGCGAGGGTGCTGGTAAATTCGTGGACGTTTCGAAGCCAATTCCGGTGTCGTCGCAGACTGGGCTTGTTTCCGGATGGTGTTTAAGTCGAGCGTGCGCTCCTCGGCGGCAGTAATGGCGCTTAAGTACCGCAGTTTCCATTTACGGTTCACCACCGGCAGCGCGACGGCGGTGTGCGCGACCCTGAATTCCTGAACGTTAACCCGCTAGCCAAACACACATCTTGACCACAAACAACGAACTTTCAGATGCATTCATCTATTCGACGCATTCATACTTACTCCGCAATTTCTGACGATGCAACCTCAACAACATACGCCTACAGTACTTATTCGCGTCAGCAGCCTGACGGTGTCCGTACGCCGCCCGCGAGGCTAAAGATGGACGGACCACCTGCAGCCCCACGAGGCGGATCATGACGACCGTGGCGACGCTGCGTTTTAGCATTATGCTGCCATTTTTGCTGAGATCGCCGCCAAGTACGTCGCCCAGGGCTGTGGCTCGCTGCACGCTTCGCTCTTCCGACGACTTCTCTGAGGTTTTGCCGAACCTGACTTTGAATCAGGCTGCAGCCGTCCCAAACACAAACACCCTCATCCTTTGTTTTTCTTACTGAAGGAGGTAAATAGCCCCGCGCTCGCCACATCCTGGGGGGAGTAGTCGCAGTAAGCACGCTAGCGAGTTCCTGTCAGAGTCGGTCGCGTTTCTGCAGTTGCACAGTCCAATTGGAATATCTCACAACGCCAGGTACTGAAAATAGTCTAATTTATAGCACTCTCCAGTTTTTTCTTATCATGTCGACTAACCCAAAGCATTACAAGGTTGGCGACCTATGGGATACCTCAGCAAGCAGGACTGTAGGCTTGAAGCGGATCTGCGGGAACTAGTTGAACGAGTGAGTTTAGCTAAGCTGTCTTTGCAAACCCCCGTCCACAGATGCTTGGTGTGTCCCACCCGGGGTCTATAAGGCACTTTAGTCGGCATTTCTCGTGAGGTGGCATGCGGACACGGGGTTTGGAAGGGGACTACTGCAGCACCACAAATACAATGCGACAATTGAATGTAACCCCTCACGCCCAGCCAGCAATACGCCTGGCCAAGTTTGCCTCGGGTCCGCTACGTGAAACATTCATGCAAAGGTATAAATTCGAATTTTGACACCCCCCTGACACTGGAAATTTGGAAACTTTGTGGGTGACAGGTCATGGCTTGAATGACATGCTAACATTAAGCAGTATACATGGGAAGTTTTTCAGCGCAGCTATGCGGCTGTGATAAATTAAGCAGGGGACTCTGAGACCTTGGCAACATCTTTGCCGACTTGCTCTCTCTCTTACGCTATTTCCCTTGGCCTATCCACGATTCACCACATTTACGCATACGCCGTGTGTTTTAAGCTACACTTGCACCTTGTGATCACCCATTTGCATCCGCCTCGAGGCTATTACCCACCACTCACGCCTTCGATAGTCCCGCCGCTTTTCTGCCAATTACAGGGTCCTGCAGAGAGCGAAGCCGCGTCGTTAGGAGTACCTGCAGGTATTTATCCGCTTACGCTACCCAAAATGCTGTTATGATGATAAATTCACAGTTAATATACAAATAAGCTCGGTATGCAACTGGAGGCAACTCGCCATGCCCTCGCCGCCTCCAGTACCCTGAAGGTGCCACATGAAAGTTCCGCAATGGATGAAAAGCGTACACGCGAGAAGGACACTACCTGGTGGGACCGCATTGAACGCGCGCAACCTCATGAACGTCCACTCAGCACTCTCATAGCCGTTGACCGTGGTCACTGCGGCTCCGACAGCGACAGATCTAAGACCTCTGAGACGTCCCCGATGACCTCCGACGATGATTTTAGCGAAGAACCTGAGGACGGCTTGCGCACCCCAGCGTCTGCCGCCTTCATCATACCCGCTGTCCGTACACATAAATCCCTGTCATGGCCCAGTTTACAATCTAATGTCGCTCTTGCCCCCCAGCAGAAGCCGTCTCCAACCAAGGAGACTTTGCTAGAGCCGCTCCCACTTCCTGGACTTCGGACACCGCTGGCACCCTCTCGAGAGACGAGCGCCCCGCTCATCAGCGGATCGTGCCCCTGGTGGACTCGGAAAGTGACATTCGGTGAAGGAGGCCCCAGTTGGCGGCCATTGCAAAGTGCTCCGAGGTCGATGTCAGCGTTTGATCAATCTGCGCACGAAACGTGAGGTTGCCTGTCTGACTAGCGATGACGCATGCCTCCCTAATTTTAACGACTTCATACTCACCAACTTCTATTGTTCTTTCATGCGCACTCAATACATCTACATTTTTTCTTTCTTTTTCCCACTTAGTGGCTCTCGTTGACTATGGTATACCTCTTCCTTCCATCATTAAACTCGCTGCGAGGCCTTCGCATATCTCGTACTCAGTTATGCGTATCGTACTTCGATTTCCACACCGATATCACAGTGCTACGAAACTAGAAATAGATCTTGGTACAATAGTGTATAGGGTATATGCACTATGCCACTGACAACAAAGAGTAGCTCACACTCCACGATCCCCATAAGAACGACAAGCGACCCAGAGCACACGCTAGCAGAGAATAATATACACCGAGGCGTTGCTACAAAATTAGTAATAAATAGAATAGTAGAGCGTGATGGTCGTAAGAACTCGTATGAATCGCATTCGTATCGTAACAGTTGGGGCGTGTGGCGCAGAACGCAATTCGTAGTGCATTGCAGCCGATAGAGCGCAAGAAAGCCTCCACCGTTAATCAAGGTGGCCGGCCGACATACCCAGCGCAGATCGTCACGACGCAAACGTGGACGCAGCCTCCTGAACATTTCGCGACGACCGCCAGCTGGGGCCGCCTGCACGGAATGTTACCTTCCGGGTCACCCACGCGCGCGACCCGTCAGTGCGACTGACGTTCGTTACCCGAGAGTGAGAGTTCGTGAAAGGGATTGGGAGGCCAAGGAACGGCAGCGGCTCGAGCAAGGTTTCTCTGTTCGGAGACGACTTGGGCTCGCGGGTAGGGGAAGGGGAGGGGGTAACGCCGAGCTGCAGGCCCAGCCCTGATGGGAGAGTGCTCGCGCGAGCAGGCGACATGATGCAGGCGACTGGAGGCGGTGTGCGCAAGCCGTCGTCGTGCTCGTCGTCGGATTCGTCGTCAAAGACCATCGACGGCGCTGCGGATGTCTCAAATCCTTTTCCGTTACAGTCGTCGTGATGGTTGTCTACGGTTACGAGCGTGTTGAGGGAGTGATTGTAAGACTGCGCGAGCTGGACACAGTCCCACCAGGCTGGGGCTTTCTTGTGTCTGAACTTTTCGTCCGCTGTGGGAATTTTGTATGACGCTTCCGGAGCATCAAGGAGGGCACAAGCGTATTTAGTAGCCTCTTGCTCAAAGCTAGAATCATCCTATGTACAGTCGGCCGACTATTCAGGGAAAGTTCGTCTGAATACGCCACAAGTACGTACCTCTGAGCTCTGTAAACGGCATGGCGTCGGCCAAGCATCCAGGTCGTTTTGGAGAATCCTGAATTCAGGTGCAATATTGCAGTTGCACTCTATGTCTTCGTACTCTTCTGGGAAAATCTTGCAAGTTATACAGTATGAGCACTGGGTAGTCTGGTGTGAAGCGATCATTGGCACATACCTCGGGAAGTGGGCGAATGGGCATGATGTACCCGTCTGCTCGCAAACAATACAGAAGAGTTTGCTAGTCTGATCGACAGCCGGTAGAGCAACCAACGAGAAATAGAGGCAATATATTCAAATGGGAAGACGGCGTGAGGGGGGCGTCGTGGAGGGGTGTTGATATAGCTCGCAACGTTCCAGCGTGCGCGTAAGTGCTGCAAGTTTGTGAACAGATGAGGACAATAGTTTAGGAAACAGAGAATGGGAAGCGGAGGGCACGTCGATGAGAACTTGGCCCAGGATTTCCATACTCCATTTAAGGTGTTGTTGGACCGCCAAAGACATGAGGCTGGCACGTTGTGTTCGTGGAAATCAGCGCTGTGTGGCATCAGCTCGTGCGAACTCAGGCTCCGAGGTTGTCTCATCGCGGGACTGTGGAGCGGTATGCCATATCTAGATTGAAGTTCAGGTCTCGAGGCCAAACCGGCTGTACGGAGGACTTCCATGCATGCATTGAACTCAACATCAGCATCGCTTTCACGCCACGCTAAATTAATTGACTCACAGTTTGTATAGCATCAGAGGACATCTGAACCTGGAAAAATTCTCTGCGAGGTTTCGAGCTATCCACTGACCCCGGGTTCAAGTTCAAGGACGAAAGCAGGAGTGATCAAGCGTGACTGGGGCTTGGCCAGTGATGTGTGATGGTCACCCCATCTTTGTGGCGCCGCAGCAGCGCCAATACTTACATCCCGAGCCTCATGTCCCGCGTACCTCGCAAAACGTGTTGCCCGAACTTTGTTGCAGACGCGCAGGACGGCGCCGCACGCCTGCGGATAGTCATCGATAACATCGTGCTGAGGCAGTTCAACTCAGCGCATCTTCTCAGGGCGGTGGGCATGCCCCGCAAAGCCGCTTCCAACATGCCTTCAATGGCGTTCATGCTACTCGCCGGGGCGGCCTGCATGGTACGTACTGCTTTTGTTCTGGATGGTACGTGCGAAATTATTCGATTTTTGACCCACGGTTGACGAAAGAGCGCAGATATGGTCGCTGTTGTCGGAGCTTGACCTTCACACTTCGTGACCAGATGCTGCAATGCTGGTAACCTCGGAGGGATGCCGGATCGTCAAGGAACACGAGTGATCTCCTAAATCTCCGTCAGAGCACAATCAGGCGCTCCTATTTACTCATTTGGAGTGAGGCACCGCCACACGTAATACTCTCCAGTGAACATGTGAGTCTATTTCCTAGATGTCTTCACGGAGATTAAACTCGGAGATGTAGAAACTCTGAGAGAACGACTCCGAACCCGCCTACGCGACGCAGCATAACCGTAAATCACAGGATGTCTACTGCCTCTTCATTGACGTCACCTCCAAGTCCGCGGCAAAGTTCCTCAAATTCACCAATATTTCTCAAGTTGCACATGACTCAGTTTGCCGAAAAGCCGGACATCTCCGTCTCATCTCGGTAAAGTTGACGCTGCTGCTCGAGTGGCGCATCTGGGTGATCAAGTGCTGAAAGTGCGGGTACGGTGCGGCGGGCCCAAATCCAGCGCTGTTGGGAGAAGAGGCAGTAGCAAGATGCGAACAGTATGCATGACATCCCGTCTTACTTCGCCTAGACTTATTATCGTCTTTCAGGAAAACCATCGTATCCTAGAGTCAGCCACTCCACTGTATCGATACTTTAGGAACCTTCTTGAAACTAATGATTAGCGTTAGTGATGGAGCACGCTGCTCGGCATAGTAACCCACCTGTGTTCAGCTCGGCACACGGAACAACACATGCGGTCAGACCTGTCCACTGCTTGATTCTATTAACACAGCCCGACGACGGGCACGTGCTTCCGTTGACTATGGTTGCCACCATGCTTTTTCCACGTTACCAGCAGGAGAAGCTGTTCATTCTGCACGACTTCCTCACGATGCTCCGTATATGACTAGCGCTTGCACTTGCAGAAGTCTCCATCAGTTTCTGGGATGAAGAGCCGTGCCTTGTGCATGTGCAGTGCCCTCTTACCGTCTCATTTGTGCATGGCCAACCGCCGTCCGCAGGACTTGGGCAATGACATGACAAAGCGTTTGTCTGCGTGCTTCCTATTAACTTTTTTCGGGGCAGATTGGCAGATTTCTGAAGGAACAAAAGAGGCAAAACGATGTTTGGAGAAACCGGGCCGACCCCCGCACATAGTCGATAATCGGCAAGTTGCCTTACTGAACTGTATTCCTGACACAGCGTCCGAGAAACTCGGCCTTACCGGTAAGCGCTATTCCTGGCACTGTACTTTTACGACCGTACCGGGTGTCACATGTCACACCGCTTTTCCGCGGACACCGCTAATAATATTCTCTCGATTTATGGCGATTTTGGTGAGTTGTCGGAAAAACTCATTTTGGGCACTTTCATCCGGTATGGTCGTAAAAGTACAGTACTCCACGTCCTTCCAGCTTACCGACCGGAAACACTGGACGCTTCAACAGATGTCTGGTACCATTCTTTGATATACATGTGACTGGGTCTCAGGATTTCAAAGTGCACAGAGAGAACTGCGAAACAGACTCGGAGTTATTCGGAGCTAAGCGCTTTCCTCAATGTCGGCACTGCCATACAGCTCCCAAGACTCGTCATACCAAACCAAGTTTCACAAGACCCTGACGATGTCTCTTCTGAACGTCAGCGCCCTATCTCAGCTGTATCCATCAGCCACCGGCAAGGTATCAGGTTTTGTACTCCGACGGAGAAGCTGCTTATTAAATGCACGAGGCAGGCCCGCCAGTTTGGTGACGCAGCGTCATGAGAGGCAAACTCATGGCACCGCGTCGTCTGATCCACGCTGTACGTTTATAGGGGCGAGCGAAAGCTATCTCCTCATCGAAACTTCTCGTTACCAGTGACCCTTGTGACGCTTTTGCCTCGCAGTATCATTCACGAACACAACCTTCAACTTCCAAACGAGGTCAGCAGACTACTTGTCTTCCAGCGAGCAAGCATCCGGCCAGTCGGCTAACCACAGTGATGTGTGGTTCAATCCTTGTCAATACGGGTATTCTTTACTCAAAATACGGCAGAATCAGTCTTCTCGCTCTCTAATTTGTAGGACATTGAGCGTTCCACCATAACCAACACCTGAATCAGGCGATTGCAGGTCACAAGGCACGGTGATAACGGTGGGATTTCTCCGTTTTTGATGCCGGGGACCCCTGTCCACGATTTTCAGCCACTCATGTCCGACATTGATCGGATGGAGTTGGCCCTGATCTGCCCTGGTTGGGAGGGACGCTCAGACCGCTGTGGCGCGGCCGCGCTCAATGAGTACTGAGACTGTCTCAGAACTAATTGCTAGAGCCATGGATTCCTGTGTCACTTTGGACGCTCAGATTTATGCGTCATGCAGACACTTATAGACAAGCGTACACAACTCTTTGTATGTAGCACTCTTAATTCTGAAAAAAAAAACTATAACATGATCAGGTAGATATCGTGCGTCAATCGCCATACTGGGCTAACAGCTTTTGAAACCAGCCGTTGTGCAAACTGTGCAGGCGCAGAATCAAAGCGAGAGCCTGACTTGAACAACTTCGCATTGTTGTGTGAGTGACGCTGATACATCTTGGTTATCCCCAGACTCTAGATTGCATCTCAAATGGTCTCCTGCGGCCGAGCAACCAGTTTCAGCGCGCTCACACCCTTCCTCAGCTTCTCCAGCCCTTCGGGGATTCCTGCAAGCCCGTTAGGGAGAACTTCGACGTTGTTCGGCTGAAGAGTAAGATTAGTACCAGTCAGTACGACGTGCACATAAGACCACACCTTTATGTCACCAGCCTCAATCAAACCGGTCAGCTTAGCATATAGGCTCCTGCCGATATCGCGGGTTGAAGGCGCGTGAACATTGCCGTACGGACGCGTGATCTCCTTATCAGACTTGATCTTGTCCTTGTCGATCGCCTCCGGGAGCACATAACAATGTCCCCCCCCCCCGGGCGCGAGGACATCGTATGTGGCGTTCTGCGTCTCTGGTTCCGAGATCGCGTCGTACGAAACCTTGATGGGCTTCTTCGTCACCGCCTTGACCGAGGCGGGGAGATCTGCCAGCGGTATATTGCGGTCAATAACGTGCGTCGCCCCGAGCGACTTGAGGTACGCTTCGTTCTGCTTCGAAGCCGTCACGATAATAGGTGAGAAGCCGGAGAGCTTCGCGAACTGGATTACTATGCATATAACCAGCATCTTATGTGACGCGAGGTAGGGAATGGAGTGCACCGTGCTGTCCGACAGCAGAAGAGCCGCCAAGGACAAAGATGGGCTCTCCAGCATACTTGTTGCGGCCGCTCTCTTCCCAAGGAGCGGAGAGGGCAATTCCGCCCGCCTTCTTGCCGTTTTACAGGCTGATAGCGGCAGTGGCAAGCGTGAGTGGGATGGTTGAGGCTTGGTCAAAGTTGACATTAGGCGGGATCTTAAAGTGCACCGTCAGATTATGCGTAGAGTGCTGGAGCTCCAGGTAAATACCTTAGCGACGATTTCTGCGGGCACAACGGTGTACTGCTGGAACGTAGCATGGCGGTTGTCGAAAAATCCCTGGTGGAGTCTAGTAGCTGTAAGTATTTGGATATTGCACATACATACAGCGCACTTACACCCTGTCGCCAACTGCGAAGTTGGTCACTCCCTCACCGACCTTCTTAATGATGCCTGCGGAGTCTGTACCGAGAATGGCAGGGTAGTCCTCGATGAGCAGGTTGAATACCTGAATCTTCCAGTCGACGGGTTAAGAGCGGTGGCATGAATCTCGACGAGGACCTCGCCAGGGCCAGGCTCCTGGATATCGCGCTCCTGCACGGCGTACTGACCCTTCGGCTCGAGGAGATATAGTGCTTTCTGAGTGGACATCTTGGCTACGCGTGGAACGTCAACTGTGGAAGTTTGGAGAGGGAAGATTGTGCAAGAGAACGTGAAGGCAGCGTAGTATAAATATGCCAAAACCAGAGCGGCAACGACCCTTGACGCTTGATGAGTAAAAGATGTGCACGTCGTTCTGAGCCTAGATAGTGCGAGCGATACCACAGATTATTGCGAACTTCGTCTCATCTCTTTCGCAATAGGAGTAGAGATCAAAGATATACCTGGGGAGACTAAGAAAAGATACCAGTTAGTAAGCTAAACGAGGTTTGTCAGCTCTGTTGCCAGTAGCAGTGTGCGGTCCCAGCTTGGGCTTGAAGAGCAAGCTCGGCCTGAAGGTCTGAAGCCCGATCCCGACCCGAGTGTGGTTCAAGACTTGGACCTAAGCCTGGGCTTGGCTACCCTGAGGCTTCGCGTGAGCTACATTTCAACAGCATTCTCTACTTGTACTTACTGTCGCACAGCCCACGTCGTTGATCTAGCGGCAACTTGGTGCACAAGCGGGCGCCCAGAGCTGACGCTGAGGAACGACGCACCCCTGGGCACGACCGAGCACTCATATATATGGCCCAGTAAATGAGTATCTTGCCCGCTATGTACATGTGAAGATGTGCTCGCCAAACCTCAGCCGCTGAAACATGACGATGAGATGGATGCATCCAAGTCGGGGCGTCCGAACTGGCTTCAACGCAAGCCCAGTGCTGACTCGGTAGAAATTGTTTGCGGTACCGATCGTCAGGAGGGGGTGCCCGGCCATCAGCCTCCCAGAGTTCAATGACTTCCAGGTTCTTCTGTCGCCGTGCGAAGAGAGCTAACATTGCAGCCTGACTAGAGCAAAAATAAAACAGTACGATGGAATCCACGCTACATCAGCGTCCCGTCTACACAAGTAGGAACACCACAACTAACCTTGATTATTCTGCCGTCGTACATAGAGAGCTGAGAACTGCGAGACGCCCGACGCGTTTGCTCCGACGCGGCTTACATAACGAATAGGCGCATCAAGCGGAAAACCAATAAAGGGAAATGCGGTGACCCCGACGGACACGAAATCCGTACCAGAACTGGTTGATAATGTAGCACGCCGCCGAAGAGAGAACGAGTATCGCCAGAGAGGGAAACAAGTGTTATCGAACGTCAGCATAGTGATGCACCAGGCCTACTAGTAGTGTTTATACTCGTCTCGTCCCCTGCCGCGCTCATTCAGTATGTTGTCTACATGATAACATAGTTCGAAAACAACACTTTTCGAAGTACAGCATCCTCGTAGCTTCAGTTGCTTCGGAAAAGGCTATTATGCGTCCGTATTCAAATTTCAAATACATCATGAGCCTGACGCACATTCTCCCTGTTGAGACATGCTGCACTTCCGTCAGCGCACCGACACTCTTGCCATACAAGACTGAGCAGTGCTTGCTCACCTGTTCTTGAGAACATCGCTCACTTTAGCTCGTCGTTCTCTGACGTACTCTTCAACCATCTCCTTGTAATAATACATCACCTTTCGGTCCTTTCCCGGTCCCTCAAATGGCGCGAAGGCCCTATGATGCCGCTTCACGAACTTCGTTAACTGCTCCAGAGATGGAAACAGGAGTTTGATGCGCTGGAGGTACCGCAGTGTCACGAGCTTCTCCGTGAGTCGTGGCCACACGTCCGCGCGGACGCTATCCAGAGCCGGAGATGCTGCCGCGCCAAAATCGAGCTCGAGCATGAGCAGGTGTGCGCCGTCAATGCCGCCGAGGGCAGTGCGTGCGGGGCCGAGGGTCATGGAGAGCGTGGGCATGAAGGCGGTCTTGACCTCGTTGAGCCGCCCTTCGATAATCATGAGGATCATGGCTGAGGAATAACGTTCAGCGGCGTACAAGTGAAGCGGGCAGAGAGGACGTACAATTGGCCATAGAATCGTCTTCGCAGACATCCGTCTCGATGTCAGGCGTGGTGCGAAATGCCGTCCAGTAAAACTCCAGTTCGTCCTGGGAAGAGGCAACTTGCTTACCCTCTACCAGGGACACCGAAGCAGCGCCGGGCTGCGTGGGGTCTGGCTGGAATAACCGGCACAGGTCTGTGACAACATCGTGTTCGTTGGTGTCCCAGTTTAACGCCAGCTGATTCGTATGCCTCGCCGTACGCGCAGGTTCCCACCATTGGTGCGCAATCCTCGCGACAAGGAACCATGTGAACAGCGCAGAGCCGCTCTCGATAACCCGGATATAGCCCACCCTGTTGTGCACACGCCTGTAGCATGCAACGTCTGGCAGGGTATCCCAGGTGATGCGCTCGAGGCGGAGCATGGAAAGGAGCGGCAGCTCGCCTATAAGACGAACGCACTCCTCGCCCCGTTTGAAACGGATATTTCGCAAGATGAGGACCTTCATGCCGATGTAGATGTGCGGAAGCGTGCGTGGTAAACCCTGATTCAACGAGCGCACAGGTAAGCTGCTACGGAAGAAGGCGGCATCAAGATCAATATCAATCGTTGTCTTGCGTTGTAAACGTCGCCGCAGATCTTGCTCCACGAGATGTAGCCATGGAATGTCGTCAGGCTTGGGCTGTAGCCGAAGTCTGTTCACAAAGGATGCAGGCGAAGGAAGAGGAGGATGAGGGGTATCGATAAGAGAAATGAAGCTGACTAAATCAGCGAATGTACGGAGGACAACTTCGTAGAAGAGTCGTGGTCGACAGAGCTTAGCGAAGTACCGAGAGACGAGGGAGCAGCTGCCGAGGGTACGCTTTGACGCAGCGAGAGCTTGAGCGTAGTCGATGTTTTGAAGTGCCGGATCGTGCGCATTGTGGATCTCGACATACCAGATGATGTGCTCAAAAAGCTCTTCCGGTACGTCTGCGCCTGCGGACTCCATCGATGGAGACGGTATTGTAACAAGAAGAGGTGACGGTGCTCACGACCGCACAGCCAGCCAGGGCTTACGTGGCACTATGATCTCCGCACATACACGTGTGAAATGCCAACAGGTTTATATTATAATAACGACCACGAGACGAGCACAGCCCACTCAGAGCGTCTGCAACAAGTTGTCAGATAGCCATGTCGGGCACCATTTATGCGACAACACCTACTGTATCTATCGGCTAGCATGGCATCGTCCTCAAAATAATAGCGCCGCACGTATCTCCAGCGATCATGCTCAACACCTGCGTCTCAACATCGAGGAAGCCGAGTTTGTCGAAGAACCAGAGGATGACAATGAGGCTGCGGGTGATGAGGGTGCGCTTTGTGTCCTCGTCGAGGGTCAAGTCAAGATGGCGCTTACGGGAACGGGTCTCCTGGCCCTTGAGGCCGAATCTGATGGAGTTTTGGTGCGAGGAGAATCCTTTCTGAAAGGATGATCGAGAGCTCGCTCTTCTAGGCACGTCCTTGGGCTCCGACAGACACTGGCGATATCACTACAACGGAGGGTCTCATGATGCGCGACGGGGCCCCGGACTTTTAACGCCTCTGAGGAGCGATAATACCGTGAGCCTGGAGTCAACAAAAAGGCAAAGACTCACTGTTCGACCGGGGTGATTCTGCACCTTCTGGCCCTTACCATGGAGGCCATAGAAATGGAGACTTTGACCAAATGCATGAATATTGTGGATGCGTCCTGCAGGTGCATTAATCAGGGTGGTGCGGAAATCTAGAACTTCAAAGGATAGGAGTTGGAGTCGTTGGTCTCATTGAGCTTGCATATGTGGCGCGAGCGAAGTTCAAAGTAATACTAGGATAGTTCAGCATCGCAAGTCGCGAGACAGTGTGAAACGGCGTACGTTCAGCTTAAGGTCGCCGCAAACAATGAGCTGGTCATTTCGAGGATAAGTACTCCTACTATGACTCCGTTAGGAGCAGAGTTCGATATTAGACAGCTAGATGACGGCAGCTTTTCTCTGTTCGTCATGCTTATGAAGCTGGGAGCCAGGTAGGAGATCTAGAAGAACGCACACCCGAGGAAACATCCCGGCCTACTTGTAAGCGTCAAACGGACGCGTTGCAGTGCCGGCGTTTTCAACTTGTTCTCTTTCTCTTTCCCGCTCCCACTTTTCATCTCTTCAACCACTCCGCTCATGTGCATGATTCTCTCTGTTCTTCTGCTGGCACTTCCTGGCACCGCCTCGCGTCTGCGACCTTCTGACTAAATATCCTGCTAGCGAGTTATCATACGCCGCCGTTTCCGCTTACCAGGCCGCTGTCACCTTGTGCTACCTTTAATCCGTGTCGGGATCCTCTTCATCGACATCGCCGAATACCAGCCCCGAGGCATCCTGCCGACGTTGGATCGCGGGAAGGAAGTTCTTCATAAAGGTACGCTTTGGCTGTTCATCGCGTTCCTGTAGCGAATCCCCGGCACTCATGAGGCTCACAGACCTGTGGATATTCTCTCTGTTTGCTTCACTACGATCTTCTCATGCACGATGCAATCCATTCTCGCCTATGTTCTGCAATGCAGCTCAGCATAGGCACCACAATGCTCGATGACGAGATGGTCTTCAAGGCGGCGTAGGGGAGCTAGGTTGATGAAGACGGCTCACCGGGGATGTGCTCTGTCTCAACAATGTTAACCAGAGTTCTATGCCGGCTTGAAGGCGAGCAGGATGTGGCAGGGTAAGTAGCTGCGGACTGCCGAAGCGTAATACCCTACCCCGCAATGACAAGATATGCGCACGATTTTCCAGAGTATTCTCTCCCGAGAACGTGTGAGACATCTGCTGAACGAGCATACAAACATACAACCAGACTGATATATCGTCCCTCGGAATCTCTCTTCGTCCACTTCTCATACCACCGCTTTAGAGCCCTTGGCCTTGCGTACATGACAGAACTTCTGCTCACCCGTCCTTAACCCCCACTAATCTCCTTCCAACAGCACCGCAACTCCTCCAATTCGGCAATCGTCCACGTACGGGTTACGGGCCTTACAGCGTACGTGCGGCGCGCCCTATTCGCTATGTCCATGGGCCGTAGGTTCACTGTGCTACAGGCTCTCTGCATGAATGTTGGCGTCGTGGCCGAGAAGCGCGCGCATGACCCCAGTATACTCTCCCGCCGCCGCGCCGTTCAATGCACGTACCCGGTCGATGTCTACGACTGCGACGTCCGCGCCGTTGTCGAGGAGAACGCGGGAAACGCCGACGCGGCCGTTCGAGGCCGCGGAGACCAGCGGGGTCCATCCGTTCTCGTCCTGCGCGTTGACGGCTGCGCCGTGTTCGAGAAGAGCGCGTATGATGTCGATGTGGCCTTGTTGTGCCGCGATATGTAGTGGTGTCGGATCGCCCTGCGCCCGCGCGTCGACAGTTGCACCATGCTCGAGAAGGGCGCGCGTGATGTCGATGTGGTCGTTCAGTGCAGTGATATGCAGCGGTCCCCACCCGTGCTGACCTTGCACGTCGACAGCTGCGCCGTGCTCAAGAAGGGCGCGCGCGATGTCAATGTGGCCGTTCTGTGCAGTGATATGTAGCGGCGTCCATCCATCTGAATTCCGTGCGTCGACACTGGCGGCCGCGCCGTGCTCGAGAAGGGTGAGCACAATGTCGGTGTGGCCTTTTTGTGCAGCCATGTGTAGCGGCGTCCACTGGTTTTGATTCTGTGCGTCAACAGCTGCACCGTGGTCGAGAAGGGTGCGCGCAACGTCGACGTGGCCTTCTTGTACAGTGACATATAGTGATGTCGAACCGGTCTGCTCCCGCGCATCGACAGCTGCGCCATAGTTGAGAAGGGTGAGCGCGATGTCGGCATGGCCTTCTTCTGCAGCAGAGTGTAGCAGGGTCCATCCGGCCTGATTCTGCGCACCGACGGCTGCCCCCTGCTCGAGAAGGACGCACGCGATGTCATCGTGGCCGTGTTGGGCGGAGATATGTAGCGGTGTGGATCCCCATTGATTCTGCGCGTCGACAGCTGCGCCGTGCTCGAGGAGAGCGCGCGCGACGTCGACGTGGCCTTGTTGTGCAGCGATATGTAGTGGTGTGGATCCCCACTGATTCTGCGCGTCGACAGCCGCACCATGCTCGAGAAGGGCGTGCGCGATGTCGATCCGGCCATTTTGTGCGGCAATATGTAGCGGTGCCCATCCACTCGGATTTTGTGTGTTGACGGCCGCACCATGTTCGAGAAAGGCGAGCACGACGTCAGCGTGGCCGCGATTTGCAGCCATATGCAGCGATGTCGATCCGCCCTGATCCTGCGTGTCGACAGCTGCACCCTGCTCGAGAAGGGTGCGCGCGATGTCGACGTGGCTTTGGTATGCAGCTACATTTACCGGTGACTGCCCATTTGGACCTTGCACATTGATAGCTGCGCCACGCTCAAGAAGGGCCTGCACGATATCGACGTGGCCTTCTTGCGCAGCGAGGTATAGTGGTGTCGATCCGCTCTCTTCCAGCATGTCGACAGCCGCGTCATGCTCGAGAAGGACACGCGCAATATCGACGTGGCCTGCTTGTGCGGCAAAGTGTAGTGGCGTGAACCCGTCGTCATCCTGCACATCGACAGCTGCTCCGTGGTCGAGAAGGACGTGCGCGATGTCAACGTGGCCTTCTTGTGCGGCAAAATGCAGTGGTGTGGATTCGCTCCGGCTCTGAACGTCGACAGCTGCGCCGTGGTCGAGAAGTACGCGACCAATATCAACGCGGCCTTGGTGTGAGGCGTTATGTAGCGGTGCCCATCCGTTTTGACCCTGTACGTCGACAGCTGCGCCGTGGTCGAGAAGTACGCGACCAATATCAACGCGGCCTTGGTGTGAGGCGTTATGTAGCGGTGCCCATCCGTTTTGACCCTGTACGTCAACAGGAATGCCACGCTCGGGAAGGGCGCGCCCGATGTCGACGTGGCCTTGATGTGCAGCGATATGTAGTGGCGTCCATCCAGCCTGAGTCTGCACTTCGACAGCTGCTTCGTGCTCGATAAGGGCGAGTATAATGTTGACGTGGCCTTGTTGTGCAGCGATCTGTGGCGGCGTCCATCCGGTCTGATTTTGCGCGTCGACAGCTGCGCCGTACTCGATGAGGATGCGCGCAACACCGACGTGGCCTTGTTGTGCAGCAATATATAGCGGTGTTCCTCCCTCCTCGTTCTGAGCGTCAACAGCTGCACCATGCTCGAGAAGGGTGCGCGCGATGTCGATATGGCCTTGCTGTGCAACGACACCTAGCGGTGTCGATCCACTCTGATTATGTGCGTCTTTGTGCACGCCTCTGCACGAGACTTTCTCATCACAAGCAAATTACCGTCCTCTCTCATATCATATCACATCGATGATCTATCGGCGCACATCACTCTGGCGAAATTGTGTCTCCTGACCCTTCTTTCCGACGCACCACTGCCAAGCCACCCCTTTTCCGACTATGCGGCGGGGTATTGGAATGACCATATATTTCCTGGCCAAGTTGCTGAATCTATTGACAGCTTGCTGTCCCGGTTTCTTCATCCAACTGCTACCCACTACTTCTTCAATTGGCAAAAGGCGCAACCCCAACATCAAAATGGCAGACAATCTCTTCTGTACTGGGCAGCCTATCTGGGGCTTCCACGTTATGTTCTAGCCTTTCTCAAGGTTCAGGGAATGGACATCAATGCTTCGGGAGGTTCTATCGGGACGCCTCTGTTTGCCGCTACACGCCGAAGGCATCACGACGTTGTCTTGTTACTTCTCAGCCAAGGTGCAGAGAGCAGTATTCTTTACAGATATGGATGGACTCCGCTTCACGCCACCGCAGAAGACGGCCTCACCAACATTGCTCGTGCCCTGCTCGATCATGGCGCAGCTGTTGACGCACAAATTGAAGACGGATGGACACCACTACATATTGCTGCACACCAAGGCCACGTCGACGTTGGGCTCGCCCTTCTTGAACATGGTGCAACTGTCCTGGACAAGACGACGACACCTGATTGTGTCATCACGGTTGTCGATGATCTCCACAAAGCTAGAGCACATGGCGCCGAGGAAGCTTTCTGAGTCTGTGATATGGGGATTGGAAGTGGCCTTTGGGTTTCCAGTAGCTGAGAAGTCGACCGCAAGGAGCTCCACAAGCTCAGAAGGTGAAAGCGGCCGCTTGGCAAATGCAATACACTGGAATATTTGCTGCCTTCGCTTCGCAATAGTTTCGTTTGATTCGAGGCTTGTAAGGATACGCTCGTATGTGTGAGAAATTGTCTTGGGAAGGTTGGTCAAGGCGATGTGAATATCACTAGGAGGACAGCTGCGTAGCATATCGAGCTGGAGATTGACCCAAAGAAACCTTGCATGATATTAGAACAAATTGCGATAAAATAAACAAAATAAAAGTTTCACATACATGCCATTTGCCATTGACATGAGTTCTTTCCGAGCAAGCATTTTAACGTGGCCCGGCCAGCTTGAGTAATCTTCCCCAGCAAGACCGTGAGATATGTATGTCTCTAAGTCACGAGTGTGTGCATCAGCATCGTGAAGCCTGAGCTGATGTGCAGGGAAACCAGCCATGGCTTTCTAGATGTCGGACTCAGGTCGACTTGTCAGAAGAATGCGGAGACTCCCAACGTCCTTTGATACAAGTCTGTGGAGGGTAGGAAATAGTTCATCTCGTCTGACGGAGTTCGGACACTCATCAAGAGCATCAATGACGATAACCGTCTCGGAGGAAACCTGTAGTATACGCTCTAGGCAGCCAAGGAGAAGCTCCCTGGTTGGGCTTAACTTTGTCCTGTTTTCTGTACGAAATTGCTTCAGAACTTGGTGGCACTGTTCAGTGCAAGTGGCAAGTTGGTAAATCAGAGATGCCAACAGGCCGATCACAGTCTGCATGTCAGCACGACGATAGTCGAAGTAAAAGTAGGCCACATGCAGGCCAGAGACGGACGAGAGGTGCTTGATGATAGATGAGCTGTTTGTTGTTGCAGCATACCATTAGCACCGAAAGCATGTCAACCAAGATGTACACACCAAAGAACGCTCTTTCCTGTCCCAGCTACAACGCAGAGTTAGTGGGTAACTGCGACCGCAGCTAAGAAGAACACTCACGATTCCCATGAATCCAGTACACGCCATTATCACTATTCTTCCATTCCTCAAACTTGCTATCGAAGAACCACGCGCATGTGCCATCCAAAAATGAAGTTTGACGCTGTTCATGATTCCGACTTGGGTCGGGGGGGAGCCAACCATTTATTAATGTCTTCGTCGACTGCAGGTCCAATTGAGTTGGGGTGAATATTCCAGAGAAGCCGTCCTTACGATGTAGACTGAGAGCTCTGGCTTCAATGCTTCGCAGATCTGCAAGATTATCATGCACTAGAATTGCATGGATGAGAATACGCGAAGATGCGCTGTAATGCGATGATGACATACCAGCTTTGACGCCACTGCTTAGTTTCCCAACGTCATCGCCGACCAGCTCGATTTTGTTTGCTATGCCGTGCACCACAACAAGCGTCTGAGCCGCGCTAACCAAAAGCTCTTCCTTCGTCAGCTCGTCTAGTTTCTCAAGGGCATTTTTCACACCCTTGTTGCCAAGGAGAGCTCGGCTGTAGTCCTCTGTCTCGATAATTAGGAACGGGGCTCAACATGATTCAGATGTGAATATTTCCTACTTGCGCGCCTGAAAATCGTGCTAGTGACTACGCCATGACATCTGCTTTCTGACGTACTTCGTGCAGATGGCGAGAACGTTGAGCAGCTGGACAAGGGCCCCGACGAAGATGTCTTCCAACTTGGTGTTGAGCACCGTGCACGATTGCAGGTGATCGTGAAGGCGACCGAGGACTCCTCCGAGCCCGGAGAAAAGTCCCTCGAGCGCATCGAAGCGCTGGCTAACCTTCTCAGCCGCCTTGCGGGCCGTTAGCTCGAGAAGAAAAATCGGCGGGGCTAAGATGAAAATGACAGACGTACCTCCAAAAGGACCCCGAACGCTGCGAAAATAGCCTTGCCGCCGGGTACCGCACTCTGTTCGTAGGTGAGAGGAGCAGAATCAGCATGGAAAGAGCACGCACCGAGGCCGCAGCTATCTCGCCACCGGCGTCGACGAACAGCTTCGTGAGGGTAAATATCGGTGCGATAACAGCCCGGGCCTTCTCGCCATGGGCGCGAAAAGCCTTGAAGCCTTTCTCGTGTTCCTCGAGAATGAGAACGAGTTCCTCGACGGAGTTTGCATTGGGCATTTTGTCGAAGAGAGGTGAACGGCGGAGGTCAGAGCCCGTAACACTGTTGTACTTCAGAATAGCATCCCTCCAAAGCTTTTGGAAGCGCGAAGAGATAGCTGAAGCATCTCGATCTCCAGACCCTGGCTGTGTGTTCGGGGTGGACATAATCAGAGTAAAAAATCGCTGTCGGATGTGCAACTGGATAGGGGACCAGAGGAGAGAGAGACAAGACAAGACGAGCACTGGGAAGACTCCGGGCCTCGATACTTGGGCCGTGCGGCGATAGGTAAGCAGTGCCCACGGTGAAGCCGCCACATGGCACGTGGCAACTTGAAGAATGTTGAGTATTGATGTTGTCTGCGAAAATGCGGTGTATTTTTCATTCACGCTCAATGGATTTTCGAGAGATCGACGTTTGGGGGCCAAAACGGTTGTGACCCAACTGACGGCCTATGGATTTTCATATTCAGATTTAATTTCTGCTCAAGTGGCCTTACGCATACTACTCCGAGGATGTGTATTTCACTGACAGCTGGCCATCAAACACTAATCATTGAGTATCTCGTTCGGTTACGTAGCCGAAGTCAAGATCGCGGGAGGGCTTGCTTGCTGCACTTAAATGTCCCTGTTAGAAATCCTTCGAAAATTGTATGAGTGACACACTTACAGATTCACAAGTACGTTCGCTCAATCCAGCCATCGATAGCCTTACAGCACATAAAGAATTATGGGCGCCTTGTAGCCGCGGGGATGTTCATCTGAATCTGGTCGCACGTTTCGTGCATTGCTGACCACTTATATTTACCTGGATCTCAGCCAGTACAATAAATCACCGGCACAGAACGAAATCGCCTAGTACGAGAACGCGAGAATAACTGAACTGCATGACTTTTCCCCAGCTCAGGGCTCGACTCAGACTTTGCACGACAACAAGCGAGCAAGGTAGCCACATAAAGAATCTGACAGCAGAATGAATTAGATTATCCGGAGTTTTTGGAATGTTATGTATAAAGTATACCTTCCAAAGCCATAGTCCGCCCATTGAGCATGCATTGGTATGCTTCTGCTGAGCTTGTGGTGGCGGGGTGGCTTAGGTCCGCAATAGTTCCGAGTTGACATACGTTGAGGGCATCCCGTCTGCTGCTGTACATGTGGAATGAGCGGTGTATAGATTAGCGGAGAACCATATATGCGACCTAGAGAGATCATAAGAGCCTGAGTAAAGCAGCAGAAATGTCTCGAAACACGCACACATACCGCTCTGTCCGTAGGCTGCGTCCAAAACGAGGTTTTGCAGCCACATCGGGTGTGGGAATGAGCTGCATGCTCATCGTCTCTGTCCGGGATCTCAATTGGTGATTAATTGCATGACTAAGAAGACTGGCTTTATTGCTCTGATATTTCGTGCACAGCGCTGCCGTGGACAGTAGACAACGAGCGTCACTCCTCCTGACGCTTCCGAGACTCGGAAAGGATGCTGTGCATCATCTACGCCCGGCGTCCATTCCGCTCGAAGGGAGCTCGTACAAGTGTACGATGGAGAAAGCGGCCATAGATACCACGACGATGTATAGCATAACCTCGAACACGTATGTGTGATTAAAGATTGATTAGACAACTCACAGGTGAACGGACATACAAGATGCGACAGCGGAAGTACAACAAGCATCATAGTTCGTCATGCCCCGACAATTAGCTGCAATCGAGCCAGTCAGCGAATGTCAGGAGTACGAGTAGTCAGTGAGACAGACATTTGAACAACCATGGTTAGTGCTGGCACTCATCCTATCTCTGCAAAGGTGGTGATCTCGATGGAGATGTCATACAGCAGATGTTCGCCCCAGTCCATGTAGTCACGACCACGGTCACGAGGAGACAGATATTTGTGACGTTGGTCGAGTAGTCGCCTAGACGGCGACGTTCGCATGCAGTTCGTCAGGGTATGATTCCACGACGCTCATCCGTGGGCAAGGATCAGGACCAAGGAGGTCCTGCTAGTCGTTCATCAGGTCTTGGAGGGCGATCTCCTGCTATGCAAGAGTTCGTCGGAGCAAGGGTGACGGGCGACGGAGGTGAACCTCCCCTTGCATCGGCAGGCAGTAACGATCTTGCTGATGCCTCGCCCTTCGCACTCGATCGACTGTCTTCAAGTGAAGGTAGCTGTGCTTGCCTGCCACTTGCTACGGGCGGAGATGGGCGTCTGTCGTTCGAGCTGGCTGGCCTAGCTGAGCGATCGTTGGTCGCAGGACGGCGGTTGTCAGGAGAAAGACGCACGGGAAAACGAGGGAAATGAGGAATAGTTTTCCACTACAGAGATTGAGATGGCGAGTTCCGTAGTAGTGGTGCATCGAGAGAGATAGACTGCGAGGTTGTCTATATAACGATGTCGTCCGAGAGGGTGAACGACAGAACGCGAGTCTGATACATATCATCTGTGATGGGCTTCGTGAAGGTATACGCTGAGACGTCAATGCTGAGTTGTACGATCTTCACGGAGGTTGGCCCGAACGCGTCAGGAAAGGCTTAGTGGCCGCAGGTTTCACGTGGTCAAGGAGAATATAGCTCCAGAACCAGAGAAAAAAAGAAAAGAGGGGAGGACGTAGGGCTATTGTGTCGAAGGTAACAAGAGGGGGGCAGACTTTGAAATCGCACTTCACGGACCAAATACTCTCCCAGAATGCGGCTACGTGTGTCAATGAGAGGCGCAGAAGTCGTGTACATGCTTTCAAGGTGGCTGAGGTCAAGCGGTTAGAGATGCAATAAGGTCGAAACAAAGAGGAGACTACTCACCAATGTACGAAACGAATAAGCTTAGTCGTCCTTATCCCAACGTCTCAGCTCAAACCGTAAAGTTCATTGAAAACCGAACCGGCGGTTGTATACTGTCCAGTCCTTTCCTGTGAACAAAGGAAGAGCGGTCGCTGCGCCACATATGCCCTTATGAGCGGACCAGTCGGTCCTTTGGTGCTCCTATCGCACAAGGGTCAGATTACAAATCTTCGAGACAGTAGATGATACATACTGCGCCACAATAGCGAACCAAGTGGCGTTTTGAGCATTGCTTGAGGTTTTCCGTCTCGCCGCAGTCTGGCACACAGCACATGGTTGGACGAGGACCCCAAAGCGCGTCGTTGGCTGCCAGCAAGTCCAGCAGCCTATGTGGGATGAACTGCACAGGTCTTCAGTCCATGCGAGCCAAGACCTTCGACAGAAGTCCATACCTTGATGCACCTGGTTTATTCTACCCGTATGCCAATGGATCCATCTAAGAATGCTTTGGTTTGGGCATACAACACTGCAACGGTATCCCCGACTTTGGGAGGTCGCGCTCTCCTCATAAAGCTCATCCCGCCATCGTTGTCGTAGCATGCGACACGCGTATCCTCCCGAGAGGCGGTATCCTTGACATCTAGAACCAGTCTTGAAAACGTAGCGATGCCAGTAATTTCGCCTAGAAAACACCAATGCCGAAGATACGACCCAGATGAAGTGAAATACCGGTCGTCGTTGTAGTCTCTTAGCTGCGGGCAGTCGGCGAAGGTGGGGAAACTAATCCGGTCTTGGAGATCAGAGCCTTCGCCCAGCTTTTGGGGAAGTTCGGTGGTAGACATGATGGGAGTACGAAGTTAGGAAGCTCCCCTGACGCGTCCGCGACTTCCCACCGCGGTGAGCACGAAAGCGCTGAACACTCTTCGCGTCTGACCACCACCACTGCTGCGACATCGACGCGCTTTCGCTCAGATCACAGTCAATCATGACAACGACGGTCAACGACCGCAATCTTGGCGTATGTTCCAGCCTTCGGGACCGAGTTTCTTTCCCCACTTTCGGCGACTGCCCCCATGAAAGAGAATTCGACGACCGCTACTACAGCCGCCCGACTGACGGGACTATCCTGGCGTCATTGAAACGGCACTGGTGCTTTCTAGGCGAAATAGTTACTGTGGACTCGACCGAGAAGCTCATCCTGAATGTCAAAGACATGGCGGCAAGGACGGTGCATCTGGAGTGCCTCAGCCAGGATGGTGGACGGGCACATCTTGCGAAAGGCTTGGTCAAGCCCGGAAGCACCATCGCAGTATTTTATGCACTGCAGCACCAGTTTCCTCAGGGATATCTGGGGCTTGGACCGGAGGAGGACGACGACATAGTGGTACTTCTAATATTGCATCGCCTCTGGCTAGCGACTAAACAGATCTTGCCTCACTCGCTCCGGCATTTACAATCGGCAAATCGTGCGCTATGGGGATTCCATCCGGCGCGTTGTGCTGCTGAGAACTGTGATAAGAGCGAGGACTTGATGACATGCTCATCGTGTCGGCTGGTCCGGTATTGTAGCCAGGTATTCTCGTTTTGTATGATTTGTTTCTCGCATGCACTGACACCGACTTGTATAGGAGCACCAAAATCTGGACTGGGATCGCCATCAAGGACTCTGCAAGGCCGCGTCGGCGTTGACGTTGTTCACAGACCGGGACTGGACGAAGTTTGAAAAGTATTGGAGATTCCTTGTATGACGTGCACAGCTCCCCCAGTATGTTTCATTGCTCTATGCTTCATGAGTCCGAAAAAGCTAAAGAGCCACCACAAGCCTCGTCAAGAACATCACCAATCCGCTTCTATTAGGACCTTGGATTTGCGGAGGCCTGCATCAGTGTGTTTATATGGCGACTTACGAGCTCCTCCCAGAATATGGCAAGTGATACAACGTACCAAAACAGACCGACTATCGAAAAAAAACCTAACCAGCCGGCTGACTGAGCCGTTTGTATTGCAATAATGGATTGCGCCAAGGTTGTAATAGTACCGCTCCTCCGATGAATTTGTTTGTCAAGATGTACTTCAACTTGCCTATTTTTCTCTACGCTCTGGTCGCCTCATTACCCACAGTACTCTGCGGCGACATTACCGCCGGCGGCGTCTGCTCGACAAATAGCACCCACATCGACTCGTCTACGCACAAGCTTGTCACTGAATGCGACGATAAGACATTCTGTTCTACCTCCACTGCCTTCTTGAACGGAAATAATGGCGTATGTCGACCGCGGCAGTGCCGACGCGACGAGTTCCCGTTTGGCTATGGTGTCAGCGACCCCTTGCCGCCACTGTGCGACCATGGCTCGTTCTGCCCCGACGACGGGAGCGGATGTCAAGGTGTGCGGAGTGTAGGCGATTCGTGCGAGATGAACCGCGACGAGCAATGTGCGCCACCCAAGGAAGATGTCACGCTCGCGAGCAACCAAAACTTCTATGGTGCGGTTTGCTTGAACTCGCTCTGCATGTACGTAATATTTTCCTGCGCCGCCGGATGCGAGGCTGACAGCCGGCGTAGGTGGGCCAACGTGACTCTCGGCCAAGGATGCATCGTCGATGATACGACGTACGTTGATGTCGGGTCTGATGGCCAACAGTCTGGGAATCGTATCGTGAGGCACAACTGTCGCACACCCCAACTCTACTGCGATACTACTGCGTTGCAGTGTTTTTCAACGAAATTGCTAGGCTCAGATTGTACGATGGACCAAGAATGTCGTTCGGTAAGGGGCTGGCGCGTACGTTTACTAGAGGACGGTTGACTGAAGCTGATGAAACAGTACAATTGCGTTGCAAGCACTTGTATCGATCCGCCGGGCATTCCACGCGAAGTAAAATCTTGGCAATACGCCGTTACAATTGTCGTGGTTGTTGTTTGTACGTTCAATTCCCTCCATACCGCCTAACGCTCTCTTATACTTGCAACTCGCTAGCCATGGCTGTGACGGCGACGATGCTTGTCATGATTCACCAGCGATTGCGATTACGACAACATCGGGAGCTTCGGGAGTATTACTACGAGCAGCTTAGGTAAATCCTGGTTGGCATTTTGGACGTGCGTGTATTCGAAGATTGACAGGTTCCTGTCTGTACAGTTTGCGCCAGTCGATGTTCGCGCTACATCGCCAGGCGGCGTTTAGAAGGGGTCTTGAAGAGAAGGCGTACTACGATTAAAGGGACAGTTTGAAGCTCACTTTCTAGCCAGGATCAACCATCGAATTGTAGTTGACCTTACTGTGACGAGGCGCAAGTTCCAGTATTCCATGCATATATACTTCGTAGAGCCCAAGGGTGTAACGAGCCTCTCATGCTGTCGAAGCCTTCTGCAGAAATCATGGCACAGCGGTAACGCGTCCGATTTCAAGCTGTTCTACTAGCTTCAGCCATCGTTTTATCCTCGTTTTGCTGGAATCGACTTTTAAAAATTTTACGTCTCTAACACTTGTTCCGGCGTTTAACATGGCACGCCACAAAGTTCGAGTGTGCCTTGATGCGCCCTTCCTATTTCGCTCTGCAAGTCGAAAGCTCCAAGGTTAGGGTTGCGCTTGCCGCCCGAAATGAGCATGCCTGCGACCTGCAGCCTGCTGTGAGTCTGACCTTCACTACCCTCCTCCTCAGCTGTCCCCCTGTCATGAGCATATTGCGACCCTTCAGAGCGACTGATTTGTTCAAGTTCAACAACATGTATGCGCTGCATTGCTCGCGCTATATCGCATACTAACTTAAGTAGCAATTTGGACATCTGGACAGAAACCGTACGCGCCAATCCCACTTTTTCCATGCGGCAGTATATGACAAGAAGACGGGGATAGTATGGAATCAGCTTCTACTTAAACTACCTTGCGAGATGGCCCGACCTCTGCTCCGCGCAGGAGGCACCCAACGGTCGCATGATGGGCTACAGTACGTTTAACCTCTCCACTTGCCATGTCTTCCAGCTTAAACTCTCGCAGTCCTTGGCAAAGCCGAAGGCCAGAGTTTGGAATGGCATGGGCACATCACAGCCCTCACAGTAGCACCAGAGTATCGCCGTCTCGGTCTCGCGCGCAAAATGATCGACCTGCTTGAGCTCGTGTCGGACAAGACCTACCGGGGATACTTTGTTGACCTCTACGTGCGGTGTACGAATAATGTCGCAATTGGGATGTACGAAAGGCTTGGGTATAGCGTGTATAGAAGAGTGAGGGAGTACTATGGCAGTCTAGGGATGGGAAGAGCGGCGAAGGACGAAGAGGATGCGTTCGGTGAGTGACAACACGCTTTTCCTCAGGGTCCTTGACCAATGCTGTGTATCCTCAGACATGCGCAAACCTCTTTCGCGAGACCCTGGGCGCCGTTCAGTCAGAGCAAACGGCCGAGAGTTCATCGTCAGTGCACATGATGCACCATAAGTACTTCAGTGTCCGTTAGATTTGTTTCTATTTCTGAACACGTAGTAGCGCTTTGCCGTGCACCGCCGTAGGCGTTGAATATTCATGTTGAATACTGACTGCGGGTGCGCCTTGTGCTATTCAGGAATGTGTCGCCGAATGTTGACCAGTATAAGAAAGCAGAGGCATTGGGGTTGTGGAGCTGGATGCGACTCGTTCAGCGGTTCACCGTCGTTCACGCTTAGCGCTCACAAGGCCGATGAGCCGCCCTGTATCTCGCTCCAGATCTAGGTCGGAGCATCAGTCACTCAAAGTGGCCTACTGTATCGTTTTGCTGTCGTCTTGCAACTGGCTGTAACGGCCCCGCCGACGCCGGTCGGACCTAAATCTCTCGCTCGGGCTTGCGGTAACCAACTCGGGCTCGTCCGATCCCAGATCGCCGAGATCACGGCTATGGACGGGAATCACGGGTTAGGCCAGGATGCCTCCTGCTACACAAGATCGAGAACTGTCTCACGTCGTGACTCAGCCTCGCTCGCAAAAATTCAAGGTATAAATGTGTAGTAAAGGTGAGCGGTGGAAAACTCAGTCCTCCGCTCCTTTTTCCCACTAACTTCTTTACTCGCCACTATCAATGCCACCCTCTCAGAAGTGTCTTTTCTTGCTTGAACGTCTAGGCAAGTTCGGCCTCGGAAGTAGCAGCATACCTTCACCAGAGCCTGGCGAGATTCTTGTCGAAATACAGGCAACAGCTCTTAACCCGGTCGACTGGAAGATCCAAGATCATGACTTCGCCGGAATCATTAAGGACTACCCCGCTGTACTTGGGACCGACTGCGCTGGTATTGTGAAGGCGGTTGGCGAAGGTGTCACCAGGTTCACTGTCGGCGACAGGACGTAGGTAATCATATGCTACTTCCGCGGCGTCGAGTTAACAGGGGTTGGCGGTAGGATGCACCAAGGATTCTTCACCAGCCGCAAAGCAACATTTCAACAGTACACTACAGTGCCTGAAGAGCTGGCTGCAAAGGTGCGTTTGCCACATCATAAACGCGTGTAAACAGCAGGGTTCATTTATGTCGTCGGCAGATTCCACTGAACCTCACTTTCGACCAGGCGTCCACCATTCCGCTTACGATGGCTACCGCTGCCATTGGACTTTACAACAAACATATCGAGCCCTATGGCGGCTGCGGATTGTATCCACCATGGGAAGAGGGTGGGAGAGACAAGTACCACGGACAGCCCCTTTTCGTGACAGGCGGGTCATCGTCGCTCGGACAACATGGTAAGTTCGGCTCATATGTCTCCTGCAACATGCGTGATATCGATTGTCCATCTAGTTATCCAGTTCGCTAAGATATCTGGATTTTCGCCTATTATCACCACCGCCTCGAAACGCAACGAAGACTACCTCAAGTCCCTCGGCGCGACTCATGTCATTGACCGGTCCATCCCGCACTCTGATATCCTTACGGCCATAGAGCAGATTACTAGCACGCCGGTGATGGTCGCATACGACGCTATATCGGACGCCGACACGCAGAATCTCTGTTACGAAGTCGTTGCGCCCGGCGGGCAGGTCGTCATTGGGCTCCCACCAGCGATCGAGACATCAAAGCTGACATCGGGGAAGAGGATCGTACAGGTCTTCGGGAGCGCGCACGTCCCGGAACAGAGACCGGTGGGCATTAGTCTGTACCAGAAAGTGACAGAGCTGGTGGCGAACGGCGATATCAAGGTGGGTGTAGGCACTTAGTCTCCGTATAACCAGCCGCTGACCAGTTTTGACAGCCAAACAATGTAGAAGTGCTTCCCAACGGTCTTTTGGGCATCCCTGACGGCTTAGAGAGGTTGAAGAGTGGACAGGTCAGCGCGAACAAGCTTGTGGCACGTCCGCAGGAGACGCCGTAAGGACGACAAAGCATGTAATCTGTAAACTAAATCTCATACAAGACGATCTCGCCACACTATCTGCTTGCCAATGTCGATGCTTAGCGGGAATGGAATCAATTTCTGGTGGAACTAACGCGTCGGACCTCGGGTTAGCGCCGTTGGAAAGGGGTTCCCCTCTTATTTGGACGCTCTTCCGTACTTGACCCATACCTTTTCCGCTATGCCAGTTGTCGAAGTCCCGCTCTTACCACGTCTTCCTCGTGCCGGCATAGGCTCTAATCTGCGAGACAGAATCCCCTTTCCGACGTTCGAAGGCTGTCCTACTGCAGGACAACCGGATGGAAAGTATCTCGGCAGCGATGGTACTCCGCTTCGCCCCTGGTGTTTTGTGGGCGAGATTACAGAAGTCGATGCCATGACTCACAAGCTACATTTGGTGGCCACGGACATGGAAGGCCGGCGCGACGTGCACATTTACTGCAACGGCGAGGACCTCGAGAAACGGCTGCATTACCAGGGAGCTCAGCCCCACATAGGGTATACAGTCGCAGTTCTCTACGCGAGCAAGAGGGAGTTAATAGAGGGAGGCGTCGGCTTAATTGTGGAGGACGTTTTATTTATGAAGGTACACTAATTCACGCATTTATTGCGCATCCTCTCACCGAGTGTCCTCGGACAGATCATACCTTTCCAGCTACAAGACATCCTCACCGCGAATGATGACTTCTGTGACATATCATCAAGAATCTGCAGGGCTCCTGGCTGTGCGAGGACGGGACCTGAACTTAAACGGTGCTCAGGTTGTTGCGCAGCACAGTACTGTTCGAAGGTCAGTTTGCATCTCGGGCCCTGGTACCCGAGCTTCGAAGGCTAAGCATGGTCTTAGGATCATCAAACAATACACTGGTCTACACACAAGCGGCAGTGCGGAGTGGCGGCCGTGCTGTCTGTGTTCACCAAGAACTGGACGGCTTACGAAAGGTCTGGCTTCAGATCCAACTAGTTGGCTCTGCCAGAAGTGTACACCCTTGTCCTACGGAGCGGATTTTTTTTACAGGCAGACATGGTGTACGTAGATTGCTTAGATCGATGACAGTATTCAGCTTGGCGTATTCAGCCTGCTGACTAGCGCGTCTTCCTTGATAATCTTATCTTTCCACTTCTTTTCCACCTCTTCGAGATCCCAGTTAGCGGAAAAATATCTATAATGACAAAGAATAAGCGATCGAGTGACTGTCATGCGGGAGAACCTTGCTTACTTTCCGCTAAGCCAATCAGCCTGACCAGATGTCAAGTGTAACAAAGTTGCCGCTGGAAGCTCAGTCGTATCCGGCCTCTTAAATTCAATCCCAAACCTGCGGGACAGTTCGGTTTCTATGAGACCGGGATGAAACGCAAGCGCTTTCACTCGTGGGTGCTCTGCCACGACGAACTGGACGATGCGGTCGACCGCTTGCTTCGAGATGCAATAGTCACTTGAACCCGGGAAGATCATGTGAGCAGAACCAGCGGTTACAGCTACGACATATCCCTGGCTCTGTTCGAGCTGCGGAATGGCCGACCTGGAGTAATGGACAATGAGATATAGGTGCACCACTAGTCTGAGAGCGTACACACCGTACGAAGTTGAAAGTACCCCTGACATTGACCTCGAAGGTGTTCCACCATTCCAAGGGGTCCTTTTCTCCGATCTCTGTTGTATTTCGGATTCAACTAGGTTTCTTCCACCTCAGATCCTGAAAGAAAACTCACTCTGTGCCCCTACCGCTGGCGTGACAGCGGCCGCGCCGGCCACGAGGATGTCTAAGTGACCAAATTGCCGTACAGTAGCGTTGACAGCGGCATTAGCAGCATCGAAATCCTTGACATCAACGGCAAAGACTAGGATTTTGGCGCCGGGGACCTCTTGGAGGATGGCGGCCTTAACCTCCTCAAGCGCTGCTTGATGGCGGGAGACGATGGCCACCGAAGCGCCGGCGAGAGCATAATAGCGCGCGACGTCCCGACCAATACCTCGCGACGCGCCGGTGACGAGGACAACCTTGTCTTTGTATGTTTTCTTCTTGAAGTGTGTGGTCGGGTCGATTGTTGGATATATCCTAGAGCTTCTATGAGTTCCTGGGCGTCTGGTACGGGTTTACAGGCATACTGACCGGTGTTGGTTTGTGACTTCCAAATCTTTGAATCCGTAAATGGTGGACATGTCTGCTGATACACCTCCCGTCCAGAGATGGCTGCTATTTGAGCATTTGAGGCGAGCTCAGTTCTAAAATCGGATAAGATGGGATGGAATCTGATGGGATGAGGTCTTTCTTGATGTTCCGTAGTGTTCCGTACGCTTCAGGTACTCCATACGAAACACGTTAGATTGGTCATTTTGTGAAACAAAGCTCGCCAGATGGTCGGACTGAAACTGCGGTACCACATGCAATGTGGATCTGCAACCACCATCGTAGGACCCCTGATAATTGGGTCAGATGCCTGTTTGGGCCTTCCAAAATTTTACCAAAAACGTCTGGACAGGAGGGGCAATTTTGGGTCAAAACGTTCGGACAAAATCAGGCCCCGGGGCCTTCGGCCCCCAAAACGTCTGGACTATGGGCAGGCCTAGCAAAATCTTGTCCACCCCCAAGCTCGCCCGGCAGGCTTTCAAACTTGCATTTTCTCCTTCGTACCTAGCAAGAGACAGTGTTGGACACTAGTAACAATGATATAGACAGCAACATACTGGTGCAACTACTGATTGGGACTGTTGTCCTTGACCTCGAAGCCCATCTCATCCGCCCCTGTGCCTGAAGTCTTCCTAGCAGCCTTCTGACGAGCCTTTACAAATTCTTTGACCGCTTCAGTAACTTTTTGAGCAATAGGTGTCGACTGGAGTGAGTGGAAGATGCTGAGTGCTTCCTGACTAAGAGTGAGTTTGCGGCCATTATTCGACAAGGTCACGTTACCGGGTAGTAGCTCTAGAAAGCAGTCGGAGGACAAGTGGGCAAATCAAATACCTGGTATGCA